TTCTGGGCTGGTGGGACCACTGCTCACTCCATCAGCTGAGTGTCGGCTGAGACCGTTTCTGGGTGGTTTTAATCCACTGCATTGTCGTGAGTGGAGTAACTTCAGGGGAAGGACAGCTGCTCCACTGGAGTCTCTCACTCAGCCTGGAACCCTTCTTACCTCTCTGAAAGCATTAAAATCAGCTGGAAAGCCCAGGCATTGCCCTTGCCTGTGATGGTCAGCTCTCAGGTGACGCACAGGAAGACCGGCGGTCATGTGAGAGCTCTCAGCTTTTCCTGGAAATTGTTTCTTGTTTTGATCTGAGAGGAGAAAGGCCTATTTTTAGGATTTAAGCTACTCTGTGTTGAGAACAGCATTTGTTTCAGTGTCAGAGTGTTCCAATGTTTCACTTGAAGAGCTTTAAAAGCTTCCTCATGATAGAACACATTTACTAAAAGTCCCCCACGTAAGCAAGAGAGTATTTACAGAAAACTTTCCTATCTTGTGTGTGCACTAAAATCTGAGTGTTGGGGGCAGGTCTTGCGTGGTGACACCATGGACAAAACTACTGCCTATGAAGCCGACATCTGCTGTGAGCGCCGGTTCATGGCCTGGCTGGTCATTGTCCAGTCAATTTCCTGCTAGTAGTCTGGAAAAAAGCAACAATAACGAAGTGCCTGGAAGAAGGCCTGGCCTAGGTCTTGGGCTCCTGCCATCATGTGGAGAACTAGATGAACTCCTGGCCCCTGCCTTCCAGCCGGCTCAGTCCTGCTGTTGCAGCCACTTGCGGAGTGAACCAGCAGGTGGAATTCCTCTCTGAACTCTCCTTCCCTTTGTTTTCTGACTTTCAAATAAATTTGTTTTTTTCCCAAAAATATATGAGCATAGGGGCAGGTATCTGGTCCAATGCTGTGATGGTGCGTGGAACCCTGTGTCCAGGACCAGGGTGCCTGGGTTTGAGTCCCTGCTCCGTCCACACTGCCTGCATCCTGCAGGTGTGTACCTGGAGGCGGCCTTTGTAGGCCAGTAGGTCCTGGATTTTCCTGTCACGCACGTGGGAGATGTGGTTTGGGCTTCTCATTCCTGGTCATTGTGAGCATCTGGGGAAGCTCTGCATCTTTCCCTGCCTCAAAGAAACAATTGACAAAATGAAATCTGAGTGTAGAAAGTATAGGGCACGCAGCATCTCATGAACTACACATTAGGCAATTTTTACTTGTTTTTTAATGTATTTTACTCAGTTTTTAGGTGATGACATATGTGTAGAGTAACACAAATGTCAGTTCTCTGATTGTTGGTTTCAATATATTGGCAGGCACATCTTCTCTAAGTATCTCTGCCCTGGTGTGAGGTTGTACGATTGACTCATGTCCATGGGGAAACCACTGCAGGACTTTTAATCTGGAGGAATAAGCCTGTAATGATCTTCTGACACTAATCCTATCAATCAAGAAACACTTTCACAGCCAGCTGAAGTGAAATCATATTAAATCCCATTGCGTTTTAGGGGGACATTTAAATTTGCATGAAAGATGTGGTGTTTTACAGGTGTTTTTAACTGCTCTTTCTGTCTAACTCTGTGACTGTACACAGCCATTTTGAGTAGAGAAGCCTGTCTCGGGCAGACTGCCCCCTAAAATGGTCTTTCATGGTTTGGTTTCCCTCAGCCCAAGACAGGCAGGGAATCTTCAGAAAGCTCGTGCACTCGTGAATCTGCAAAGTTTATTTTGGTACAAAATAAATTTCTGACTCTGTGCATAATGGTTTCATGAGATGCATTTCCCATGAATTTTGTGAAGGCCCTGCCTTCCAGCCAGACCCTCCCCCAAATACCAGGATGACCCTGTCCACTTCCACCAGCAATTCAGCTGGGGCAAAGATGCCGAATCAGGGATATTTGTGCATGGAGCAGGTCTCATCAGATAGCACATGATCAACCTCATGGTTAAGATGCACATTGGTGGGCCTGCCACCCATGTTGGAGCATCTGTACTTGATAGTCAACTGTAGATTCCAGTTCCAGCCTCCTGGGATTGAAGACCCAGGGAAGCAGTAGTGATGACTGAGGCAGTTGGCCCCTATCACTCATGTGGGAGACTCATAGTTAGTGTATGGTCCCCCTGGCTTTGTCCCAGACCCATAATTAGAGCATGGTCCCCCAGCTTTGACTCCAATAGGACTGCTGTCTATGTCTGTGAAATAAATCATTTGATTTAAAAAAATAAGAAAGGAGTTGGCTTAAACAAATATTTTGGCTAGTAATGGGAGGAGTATACTCATTGGTTACTTTTAAAGAATGCTAATAGTAATGGTACCTTTTGGATATTTGCCTGAAGTGGCAGTGGCAATGGCAGCCGACTGTCCTCTTCTGTAATGTGATAAATGGTCTCTCTCATGTGATGATCAGCAAGAGGGAAAGAAAGTAGAATCCTGGAAAAGGCACAAGAATGGCTGTGAGAACTGGCAGTGCCTGGAGCAGTTGCAATTTCTCATTAGGAGTATTTCATATTCAAGAAATTACACTGTATCAAGGCACGATGACCTGAATATCATAAGACAACTTTTTCAGATGCTGTTGCCTGTGGCTTTTCCTTTGCCCCCTTGCCTAACCCTAGCTTGCCTACCCGGCCTCAGGTGGGGGAGCTGTAATGATAGCAACCCCACCCCAGCCTGTGGCCTCCACTTCCCAACTTCCAGAGCTGTGCACCCTCAGTCATTTAGCTGCATCTCCCTGCTCAGAGGCTGCATTCTGACCCCTTCTTGTGGGGAGCAGGGTGCTAAAGCCACTCCTGGGATTAGGAGGGGCCGTTGCAAGATGGCGGCTGGCCCAGGGCCAAGAGGTGGAGTTGGTCTCCCCAGCAGGTAAACAGGAAGTCACAGGGATAGGCTAATGCCCCCGCTGCGATTACTGGCCTATCACGTAGCGCCAAGTGGACCCACGGGGAGAAGTGATTGGTGGAGAACGATATAAAAGTAGCCGGTAAAAGCTGGACGACCACGGACAGACGACAGGACGACTGCGACAGACTACGGACAGACACGACGACGACGACAGAAGACTGGGGGACAACGGACGAGAAAGACTGGGGGGGCGCGGAAAGGAGACAGGGAAAGTACGGGAAGAAGAACGGGAAGAAGGGTGGCGGAATTAGGGCTAGAGAAGTGGCAGAGGAAAGCTAAGCCAATGAGGGCAGGGCCAGTGGAGAGAAGGATTTAAACGCAGCCGCTTTCAGCAGTGAGCGTGCCTCACTGTTTTAGTGTCGGCACTGCTGGGTGGCGGCAGCACCTTCTCTTGGCTGCCGCCACCCGAGTCTTCATGCCAAACCTGACCTTACTGTCTCCTGGAAATACTGAAGTCATAAGGCAGTAACTGCCCTGCTGCCTGGTGGTCCAGCCAGCCTGGCCTTGGTGAGCACATCCCGCCCTTCCGTGCTGCAACGTGGTTTCCTTCCCCCAAGGTTGCTCAGGACTCCCTGGCTTTCCCACTCTCTGTACCTCCCTCCTCTTCCATACCCACGATCCTGAGGTTTGAGTCTGCTGTCCTGTCGTTATATGCACCTGTCTCAGATGCTAAGCCCTGGGACGTCTCTCCTGCACCCACCTCAGCCAGGCTCTTCTTTCAGGGAGCAGTGATGCCATTGCAGACCTCTCCCATGCACTATGCCGTTTGTCCTGCCCCTGCCACTCTGCAAGTTCCTCTGTGCCTAGGACCCGACTGCTCGCTTCCATGCTGTCTTGTCAGTCACCACTCACCCATTAGCCTTTAAGTCCACACCATGAAAATACTGCATATCAGTGACTTTCTGATAATACCAGAGAACTTTAAAAAGATGGTGCAAAAACAGTGGAGCTAAAAGGTGCTGTGCGTCTTCCGCGGATATTCGCAAGTGCCTTTTGTTTCGTGGTACTTCCTTGTTTCATATTCTTTTCTCTCTCGTTCTTGGAACACCACTAGAACTTTAACAAGTGGCTCAAATTCAGCAAGAATCCTTGGCATTTTAAGGCTGGCTGTCTCATAACAGTCAGTCATTCTGTGGACAACGCTGTCTGGTTTCGTGGGCGCATGGCTCTGCTTGTTTCCCAGAAAGAAATGTGAACACATCTTTAATGGTCCTCCTCCTCCCTCCCTGGACCCCTCTGTCTCTCCTCCTTCAATCCTCTTTCTCACCTCTTCCGGCCTCTCACAGGATTACCCACTACTCTTGGTTGCCTCACCCCTTCCCGAGAGATTTTCCACTGGGGCACCAGAATGTGTTTTCAGGGATGCCAAGCTGTTCATCCCTTTCTTGGTCTGGAAACCCCAGGTCTGTTAATTGCTTGCAAATCAGAATAGAAGCTTCTGCAAGATGCACAAAACTCAGCTTGGTACATCTCCTGAAAGACTGGCTCAATAGATGTTTGTTGCCAGGATGCATTGCGCTTGGTCAACCCTGGGTGCCTTCGTAAACAATGCCGATGTCCACTCCAGCTGGAGACTGTGCCTCTCCCCAGGGCCCACTCCCGGACCCTCCCCTTCCCATGTACACCAGAAGCTTGCGTGCCTGCTTCAAGATGGCCTCCGCCTCTTGTCTCCGCCCTTGGCGGTGATGTGCTGCAGACCCAGGCACAAGCTCTTGCTTTCCCCTACATTCGGAATGTGATTGGCTTGTGTTTGATCAGTCAGTAAAGGAACCAACTTCTAATGAAAAGATGTCGACAAAAAGAAATAGCACATTGCTAGAATTCAGGCATTGTTACTACAGGTGATAGATCCTGGCGAGTTTCTGTAGGAAATCCACAAAACACCGTGACTTTCTCCTTACATGAGCAAGGACACAGCTGAGGTGGGGGCCGTGGTATGCAGTGTGAATAGGTTCAGTACAATAAGGGCTATTTTCCATTTCCTGAAGCGCCACGTGCTATTGTGTTCCTAAAGCTTTGTCAACACATGGGCACAGGGTGTGCAGGTGAATTCTACCACTTGAATGACCACAGATGGCTACGGTGAGTTTCAGTCTCCCAGAATCTGACAAACAGCCAAGGCCTGAGTCCATGTGCTTTGTGTCCTAACAGGTACTTGAAGCAGACCACGCGAGAGGAGTTGTCAGCGGCCGAGCAAGCTCTGAACAGGGAAAAATTGATGAGTCTGAAACAAGCGCTAAATGTAGTTGGCTTCAGCACCTTGGTGAGTCCTATTATTGGCGATTCAGTGGGAAAATCAAGCCTTCTACTGATTCATCCATGTTAGTCATTCGGGAGCTGCATTGCAGCCATGGTGGTAGACATTGAAAGTTAAAACCCAGGCCCAGTCCCCACCTCCCAGGGGTCACTTGGGGGCTGGGTCAGTAGCTACAAGCCGACTGTGTATGGAGGGACGAAAGCAATGACCTTGGAAAAAACCCTTAGTAAGAGGGGAGAGTGCAGCTTGCCAGAGGAGGACCACCACCCTTGTGCAACAGGAGAAAAGTGTCTCTCCACGCAAGCCATTAGGTCATTTTCCACCCATTGGTCTTTGAGAAGGTGGGTGGATCTGAAATGATGATTTACTGCTAACAATCACCATGAAGGTAACTCATCATCACTTTACCTGGGCAATATTAGTTGAATAATGACTTCTGCAAGCACTGGGAAGCTGAGAAAGGTCCCCCAAGCCTAGGAGACCACAGCTGTGCACTGGATGTTTCTGTGATAAAGCAGCTGTCCCCAGTCCGTTCACCCCAGGCACTGGTCCAGTTCTAGCCAATAGCGGTTATTGGTCAGGCAGCACAAAACAGAGGGAGAAGTGAGTGTTTCACATTCTTTGATTTTAATTCATTGAATTTAAATATCCTGCAAGCTCGCATGTTTCCACATGAAACAGCACTGGTCTCGTGGTGTGGAGCTGTGAGGAGGGCTTCTCGGAGTGCCCACAGATCTCTGCTTATCTCTCTGCCTCCTATTCTCTGTGGCTGTGCTGGGGTCGTCAGCCAAGTCCTCATGAGCAAGTAATGCGAGACTGTGGAGGCCACTTGGAATTGAGTCACATACTTAGAGACATCCCTTCTGATCTGGGGCACCAATGCTTTGGTGGACCTGGTCTTGTTGTTCTTCTGTCTTCATAGTGATAGCTTGGTGAGGCAGCTGGATGGAAGGGGGGCCGGGACAGGGTTGGGAAATGAGACCCAGCAGAATGAACTGGCTCCCTGTACTTGGTTGTGCTCCACCCTTGCTGCACTCAGAGACCAGAATCTGTGGGCCTTGTTCTTCTGGCTCTGCTCCTCTGAGTCTGTGTGTTTCTATCCTGTCCTGTTCCGATTCCTTCTCACTTGCTCCTTGCTGCCTTCACCTTTGCTGCTTCTGTACCTTTCTGCTTTCCCCCTCTCCCATGTAGGCCTGACATCGCCGTTCTTTAGATAAAATGGGGACACAGATAGGAGCAGGGAGCCATTTCACCTGAACACCAGTTGCTTGGAAACAGGCTTTGAAAATCCAGGATTGATCCTCAAAGGCAGGACCAGCAACATGTACCTGCTGACTGAGTCAGGTGATAGAGGATGCGTCAGCCTTTAGGGTAAAAGACAGGTGGATGTTTTAACAAAAGACACCAGATTCATTTCTTCATTTTGGCCCTTTGACATCACTTTAATGTGTGAGAATTCCAGCCCACGGTGACAGGCTGATGTCTGACAAGAAGTGAAGGAAGGTATTTACGGGCTGACAAAATCCTTGAACGAAAATGTGCGGGTGATGGTGGCCCTGAGCTCTGTTCGGAACAGCACCTGTACCCTTGCTGTCCTGGGTGGAGAGAGCTGGCCCAGCAGGCGGCAGTCTTCCTGCTCACCACTGGAAGTCGCAGAGCAGCAGCCTCCTGCACTCACAGAGGATCATTCTTACATCCATCCTGTCCAGACCCCATCATGCTGAGAGGCACGCTCAAGCCGGTGCTCCTGGCTGAGGCTTCACAGAGCTGCCAGGTCCTCAAGGACACTGGGCCTTGCAGAGGTACCTGGCTGGCAGAATGCCAGGTTGGTTAAACAAACAAAAACTGCTCCTGGGCTTCTTAGAAAGGGAAAACTCAGAAGGTTCCTGGAGACTGGGAGACGCTGGGCAAATGTCATGTTAAACATGCAAGATTGTGCCATCGAGTATGACAGTGGAGAATGAGGCCTAGAGGCAATGCTTGTCACCGCTCTGGCACCTCAGCATCCAGACTGGCTCTGGGCGGAATCTGTCCCTGGGCCCAGGGCGGTGCCGTTTCCCCTGTGAGTGTGCTCAGAACAGCCCCACTGTCCCTGGGGCACAGGTGCCTGATTGCCAAGCTACAGATCATGAACCCACACACCCAGAAGGTCATGTCCCTGCCCATCGGGGGTCACCTTGTTTAACCGTGCTGTGATGTTGGCGCTCTTCAGAAAAGTGGGGGTCTACCTTCCTGCTTGTTCTTTTTTCATTCTTGCCACACAACCAAAGCTCAGTGTAAGGTCTAATACAGATTCTCAGATATGCCCTGGGAGCAAACACCCTGTTACTTCCTGTCATCTTGGGTTGCAACACAATTCTGGCAAATATCCATTCTTTTTTTCTCTGTTTTTCTTAAAATACACCACCAAGCAGATAGCATCTGGCTTAAGCAGAGTTGTGTGCATGGGGTGTGTCTGTGGAGGCAGCTCCTAAGACAGAGAAATGGAAGGGGACTCAGGAGCAGTTACTTAGATTGGGGGCCATGGCACCTGCACCCAAGTTGTCACCTCCTGGTGCCCCTGGCTCACCCTGGAGCATAGGGGTCACCTGGTTTTGTGCAGCCCATGTTTAGGTTTTAAAGGGATGTGTCTTATAAGACTCTACCATTGTCTGTGCCTACCATGTCATGATACACTTAAATAGAATGATGGACTTGTGATTGTTGCTAAAAGACCACAGTACTGGAATAATACAGGGAGAACCTTGGGTGAGTGGGGGGTAAGTGAGGATAGAAGTGAAAATCTCTGAGCCTAGGGAGCTGTATCATGAAAGAAACAACAAAGAAAGACCAAACATTGAAAAAGTGATAATACATGAATAAAAAATAGTAGTTTGTAAAGGATATGTCTTGTAAGCCGCGTTGAAGCAACAGAATTCATTTTCTCCCTTTGCCAAACGCCCAGGAGGTGGAGAACCTGTTTGCAATTCTGGCAGCTGTCCTGCAGCTGGGCGACATCCGGTTCACCACCCTCTCAGACGCCGACTCCGCCCTGGTCGCTGACCTCCAGCTGTTGGAGCAAGGTCAGTGGGAGCCACCTGCTCACGCCCACCGCCGAGCTGCACTTCTGCAGCCTTGCCGGTGGATGGAGACACAGACACAGGATGGGATGGCTGCGCCTCTGGGCTCCGGCTGAGCCGAGCGGGAACAGAGTGTCCACCGCTTCATTCTCGTTTTCTTAGAAACGCCTGCGGGATGAGTTAGGAGATGCGCTGTTCTCACCCCCCGCCGGGACGCGCCGGGGCCATTTCTGTTGTTCCAAACGTTCTTGCCCTCACCCTCTATCTGCTTGGTGTATTTTGGGAACGTGTCATTAGCTCAACATTTTAGACAAATACATTTCGCTTCCTGGCAAAGATCATGCTGAAAAAGTCCTCTCTTCTAGAAATGGTCTTCTGAGTCATTTCTAGATTTTTTTTTCAAGACACCTCGTAACTACAGAAACCGCAGGTAGTCCCAAGCAGCGAATCGGCCCCCACATCAAAGTGAGGCAGGCTGTGTGCGGGTGCCTGCTGCGGGCAAGACGAGCAAAGCTGGCTGGGCTTCTGTGCGCACAGCCACGAGAGTCTCTGACAGGGGAAGATACCCATTTCCTGATGTGTGTGTTTGGTAAGTTATCCTCACGAAGCACCTGTTAACTTCACATTTACCACCCTGGTTTGGTTTCAGTGGCTGGAATCTTACAAGTGTCTGCAGATGAACTGGCGTCAGCCTTAACAACAGACGTTCAGTACTTTAAAGGTAAGGCTTTGTACTCTGTCATCATGGTGCCTTCTGTGGTGGTTTATAAAATTTATTTTATTTATCTGAAAGGTACAGTTATTGAAAAAGATTCGCACACAGAGGGAGGGAGAGAGAAAGGTCTTCCATATACTGGTTCACTCCCCACCCCCAATGGCTGCAATAACCAAAGCTGTGCTTGATCAGAAGTAAGAGCCTAGAACCCCTCCCGCGGCTTCCACCTGGGTGCCGTGGCCCAAGCACCCGGGCCGTCTCCCGCTGTGCTCCTAGGTGCATGAGCAGGGAGAAAGATCAGAATCAGAGCAGCTGGTTGTAGAGCAAGTGCCCAAATGGGCTGACACTGGCCTGTGCAGTCTCCTTAGAGTTCTGCCTTTCCCCACCTCCTGGAACCGTCCCTGTGACCTGAACACCAACGAGAAGAGCGTCATGAACCGTTTGGCCCCTTGCATTGAACCCTTGTCAGAAACCCTTACTGCTCTTAGAACATCTCATTAACTGGCCATCCTTGGTAGCTAATCTGTCATCTTAGGAAAATGAAAGTGGCCCTTCCTCTGCTAGGTCACAATATAATTCATCATTTCCTGCAGGGTTATGAACTGATTGACACGGTGCCAAGTGCTACAGACATTGCAATATTTTATATTTCCCAAGTCTGCTGTGAGGTGGGCATAACTCTATTTTAAAACCTGAGAAAGCCAATGTTCAGTGAAATGAGATTCCTATGGATGCCACATTCTAAGAAAATGACATAGTTAGAATGGGAATCTTAAAGACCCTGACTCCCAGGTGACTGAGCACAGCACCTCTTGCCACACAGGTTGGCTCTACCAGCTGCTCCTCAGTTGTTCACTGTCCGTCTTGGTCTCACCCTGCTTTATTGCAGTTGACAGGGCTGAGCATCTGTCTGACAGTGCTTCTCTACTCACTGTGGTTGTTTCTGGCCTTTTTCCCCCCAGAGGCCACTCTTACTGTGTTTACACACATGGCTAGTGATTTCTGCCAAGCCCCTACTCTCAGAATCCTCCAAGCGTATGCCTGGGACTAGTGTATTTCCCATCGTGCACTCAGATCCCCGGAGCCATCTCAGTTTCTCTGTTCTGTGTCCTCCTGCATGAGGCGGGTCAGCCCCAGGCCAGTTCACCCTCCCGATTCCTTGGTTGTTTCTGGCTTCCCTTCTTGGTCATCAACCATTCTATCCCTGGTCAGTGGCCAGAGCCTCTTCGCTCATCTTTCCTCTGTCTTGTCTCTGGGCGCTGCCCTTCTATTGGCTCCAGAAGGCGTCTTCCTAAGACACACAAGTGCGAGTTTTGCCCGTGGATGACAGTATTTTATACATTTGCCCTCTTGGCAGGAAAGCTCACCCACTAGAGTGGCAGGCTGGCTCTTCCTGTTTGGGCATCTAAGCTCTCTGCATCCTCTTCTTGCTTCATTTCCTGGATCATTTGTCACCTGCCTGGTATCCAGCCGTACAAAGGGTCTTGATACTCTGTGAATATGTAATTCCTTTCCCTGCCTCTGTTGACAATGGACCTCACCACCAGCCTGCACTAGGCAGTGGGAACAGGTGCCCGTGTTGATCCTGTGCTCACGCCCCTGCCCTCTCAGCCACCGTGGTAACCCATCACAACTCCTCCGCCATGCAGACGGGGGGACCTTGCTCACACAGCTGTGTTCACTCGTAGCTCAGTCTCTGTGAACTTGAACTTGGAGCTTTCCTGCAGTGGCTGCTGTTACTTTATATCTTAACCCATTCCAAAAACCTATCTCCCCCTCAACTGTGCCTCCAGTGGATGTGTAATGCCTTCAGCCCTTCTTGCCCAGGGCTCTTATCCAGTTTCCACTCTGTACTCAGACCCTCTTGACCAAGAGGTGGACCCTCTTGACCGAGGCCTTGGAATATGACTTCAGGATGCACATTTATTCCTGTCATCCCAACAAGTTGTAGGGATCTGAGTTTATGCTCATTTTTTCTTTTCTTGTTCCCTTCTCTGATTTAGTCTCTACCAAAAATCCTGTGGCTCAAGATTTTTTGTTGTTATCTCTTTCAGAATGACATAAAAAGTCTGTCCTTGAAGCTCAGTGTCAGCCCTGCACTGTGCACAATTAGACCATTTCCTTGAAAATGTCTAATGCTGCTAGTGGTCAAGTGTTACAACACCTTGGCGTGTTTCAAAGGAGTGGTTTGGTGACAGAAAACCTGCTTAGCAGGGTCTTCATGGATGGTTGGGTCCTCAGTGAGTGGAACTTACATAATCTACATCAAGGTCAAGCCCTGTGGTCAATGTGTGTCCCCAATAACACTGAGATGAGTGCAGTCTCTTTTTAGGGGACATTCTGTGTAAGCAAAGGAGGTCTTAGCAGTTACTGGAATCCCAATCTAGTGCTGTAACAGCCTGTGAAGCATGTGACTGCAGAGAGTAAATGAGATGGCAATGAAACCTTTCTCCCTGCCTTTCCTCTCACTGCTATTGCAGGCGATCTGATCCTGCGGAGACACACAGTGCGGGTGGCTGACTTCTACCGTGATCTCTTGGCCAAGTCCCTGTACAGTCGTCTGTTCAGCTTTTTGGTGAATACCATGAACTGCTACCTCCAGAGCCCAGAAGATTCCAGAAGGTAGGCATCCCTGGAGGATGGTCTCCACTGCTGCCCTGCCAAAAGCAGCTCAAAGCTCAGCTCCTAGAGGCTGCCTATCACAGCACGAGCATTTCATGAAGCAGTTCATTCCAAGCACTTGAAGGGTTTTATTGATAGTTCTTTTAGAGATTTAAGTCAGAGCGAGCCATGTCCTGTGTAGATATGCACATGAGTTTTCCCTGGATTGCTGGTGTTTGTGCCCTTGTGTGGCTTGAGGAAGGAGGCTGAGGAGCATGAGTCCCTAATGCACCTGGACCTGCTGAGTTCCCAAGTTCCCACAACTTTCTCGGCAGAGTCCGCTGTTGTTTCTCTGACCCCCTTCTTCATTTCCTGGGTCTCTGTGGAAATCGCCATGGTTCCTACCCTGAATCACTGCTAAGCAGAGGTTTGAAAGGCTATTTATCATCTGAAAATGAGACATCTCTGAAGAATCGTGACAATGGAAAGTTTCGTTATTATTCCTGCTCCTTAGGATGGCCTTGAACAGACACGGAGATCTTCCCACACGTGCTCATCCCTGAGGCAGTCTGACAATTTCCTTTGTGTTCATGTAGACTTCCTCATCAAATTCCTGAAAATGGTTGCTGCTTGAGATTTCTTGGAAAGTACTAAATGAGAAAGTTCTTGGCTAAACATGGACATCTCAGATAAGGCAAGGGCAAAGGAGCAGCAGAGTTCTTATTACAACACAAAATGTGCAGGTGCAGCTCATGGGAGTGTGGCTGTAATAGACTGTGTCCGCAGAAATGCTGCAAGATTTGGTGTGGGAAGAAGTCTGCTTTTCGCTGATTTCTTGCTCTGGCAGACCTTGTGATTTTGGGTGAGACTCCTTACAGAGTGATAGTTACATACTAAGTCTTTCAAATTAACTTTATGTGAAACTATTGGGAGCATTGCTTGAGTTGACATCGAAGAAATTAGTATAAAAACCCACCTGCCCAAATAAGCTTGGAGGGAATTTCCACTTGATTTCTCAATCTTAGCGATACCCTATGTTTGCATAATTATGAATACTTCTATGTGGGCTAGGCTTTCGACAGAACATGTCAAATCATGCCAACGTGCAAAACATCCGATTCCTCCTTCAGTGGTGATGTTGCCGTTGTATTAGAATGCAAATGGGTGATGATGGTCTTGCCTTTGAAAATTGTTTACTAAGCAGTGAATGAAGACAGACATGAGTGGAAACTAGGATGTGGATTAATGCCTTATCAATTTAGCTTCTATGAATAAAATTCTCGTATTCTGTTTCCTCCATACGTCACTTAAAGCTGAATTTAAATTCCCAAACAATGCAAGGAAAGCATATATTTTCAGTGTTACCCACTTGCCAAGGAAGTCTTAATATCTTCATATTTGCAGCTCTGCTGTAGGTCTCAACATTTGGGTAAGCTTAGAGTAGGCAGTCTAAGGTGTCTTGGAATTTGTTTTTAAATCATGGTAGGAAAGACTACATAAATTTTTAAAAATCCCTATGGTTAAAGATGCTGATCACTTTGATATTGATAAGATATACATATTTTCTATGCTGTTTTTGTAAATTTTGCAAGAAAAAAATAAATATAAATATAATTACTCTAGTAAGTCATAAAGATTGAAGTAGGTGAAATGTTTATTCTTGGAGGAATGAATTCATTTTGTGGATTATTGTAATTGAGGCACAACATAGGCAGTACAAATGTGTCTAAGATAGTTCTACTTTTCTATCTAGACTCTAAGTAGGTTTGCTTCCAACTGAGGTGTAATGCAGGTGAAGCTGATGGCCAGTTCATCAAGATGGGCGTAAACTAACCTTTGAGAATCGCTCAGCCTCAGGGTTCACTGGTGGTATCTGCTGCGATGGAATTGCTTGCAGCTGCAGGGATGGCTCAAGGATTGCACAGAAGGTGTCGGGGTACGTCAAACATAGAAAGACATGTGGACTTTGTTTATTAGGCTTGTTTGAAAATCCTGGCATCCACACAAATCAAAAGGCATAATGATAATAGTAGCAGTAAAATGGTGCTTCCTGCAGTGTGTGTGTCAACACATGACCTTCAGAAGAGACCAGGGTAAATGGTTGGAATGATACACACACGTGTCCCTCCTCAAGAAGAGGCCCTTGTAGGCCACCATGAAGTAAGGGCTTCACTTGTTTCCTCTGTCCGCTTGCCATTGCTCTCCCATTTGCTAAACTCGTTGAGAAGTGAGTTAGTGTTTAACTACTTGCCAGGCCTCACCAGGTCTTTAGCATAGGATGGCATGGCGCTGTCATCACACACCTGCCCTCTACACCTGTTGGAAGGCTAGCTGCCCTGGTCAGCTCCTTCTTGTGGTTCTCCACCACACTTTCTCCTGGAATTGTGGCTGTTGGCTTCCCATCCCTGAGGTACCCAGGGGTTCATGAATGTTCGGTGCTATCGTAGGCTTTGTGGGAGATTATAAAAAGTTCCTGATTGCAACTCAGACTCTTCATCCATAGAGAGTTAAGTCGTGGAGTGAGATCAGAGTCGCATTAGGAATTCTGGACATGGATGGCAGCTGCCTGTGGAAGCAGCTCTCACCAAGACCAAGGTTGTTCCATTCATTCAGAAGAATCATCCTGAACCCCCCACCAGCTCGACACCCTGCAGTGTGCAGTGTGTGCCACGTGCTGGAACAAACAGTCCTGAACTCGCCTTGTGTGACCTCCCCTCCCCAGCAGCAGTGCTTCTCGGAAGGGGCAGGAGAGTGATAACCCCAGAGTTTTCTTCTTTCTGGGTCCCAGGACTGTGAGTCAGCATCTGCGTCCAAGAGATCTGAGTGCTGACACAGACTCTGACGGAGGCCCGACTGTGGCATCAGGCTCTGAGTCAGCTGACGCTGTAGTGTGCTGTTTTACAAGATCCAGAGTAGAAGCTCTCTGGCTGCCCAGCACATGGAAGACCCTTACAGCTTTGGGTGAAGGAGGAAGATCAGGATTTAAACTTGCATGTGACCATGGTCTTCAACTGAGCAGGACTGCTGCTATCCCAATGATTGCCTAGTTTTGGTCCTTTCACCCCAGAATTGAGATTGTTCATGAAGCTAGAGCAGGTGGCTAGTGAAGGAAATAGCATTTGTGAAAAGCACCCCGTCATTGGAACTCTCCTTGATACTCAGTGGGACTGCAGTGTGGCCTTCACAGGAGAGGAAGTAATGAGCAGGTGCACGGGGAGAAAGAGGACGTCTCACCAAGAGGCTGACATGATTCACTCCAGAGTTATTTTGTGTTTAACTCACTTATCAGTTCAGCAATTTGATTCCTGGCATTAGCGATAGGATTTGTTACATCTTGTTATAGCTAAATCACATTCAGGGTTACCGTAATTTCTTTATTTGTCCTTAAAGAATTTCTTGCATTTTGTGCCTGGCATGATAGCCTAGCAGCTAAAGTCCTCTCCTTGCATGTGCGGTGATCCCATATGGGTGCTGGTTCGTATCCCGGCAGCCCTACTTCCCATCCAGTTCCCTGCTTGTAGCCTGGGAAAGCAGTTGAGGATGGCCCAGTGCCTTTGGCCCCTGCACCCGCGTGGGAGGACTTGGAAGAAGCTCCTGGCTTCTGGCTTTGGACCAGCTCAGCTCCAGCCATTGCAGCTGCTTGGGGAGTGAATCATCAGACACAAGATCTTTCTCTCTGTCTCTCCTCCTCTCTGTATATCTGATTTTCTAACAACAACAAAAAAAAGTAAAATAAATCTTTTTTTAAAAAATTGGAAGAATGCCGGGTTGGAGGTCTGGCCTCTCTGCTTCCTTTCTGCTGCCCCCAGGCTTCTGCGTCCCGTTGTGTTGTGGCCTGGCCCAGACCCAGCTGTTACAGCCATCTGGGAAGGGAAGCCACAGAAGGAAGATTCAGTCTCTCGGCCTCTCTCTCTCTCTGCCACTCTGCATTTTACAAAAATAAACAGATCCTTGTTGAAAAGCAGAGCATAAGAAGATGTCTCCAAGTTGGATGTATTTGCACTGCTATTTTGATTATAAAATTGGAGAATAACTTTTCTGTATGGTTCACAATCTTGTCTCCTCTTTCTCTTCTTTCCTTCACTCACATCTCCTCGCCTCGCGTCTCCATCCTTTGTCCTCCATTCCTTTCCCTTCCATCCCTTCCATTGCGCTCCTCTCCCCACCCCTGCCCACACACTCTCCTCCTCCATCTCACTTTTCTCCTACTAGTCTATGGTTCAGACATTGCAGCTAACCATTCAGCAGGAGCCAGGAGGTATAATCTGTCCCCATTTGTCAGACACAGAAACTGAAAGCCAACTGTAACTTGAATTTGAAGCTCGTATTAAGCATGCATCAATGAATCTAATTAAAACCAAATGTTTTCATTACATGTTAGTTTCAGGTGTCTACCTTGTTGAAATGATTACAGATTTAAATGATTATGAAAATTTTAAATTATGAAGATTTGATGAGAATTATAAATCAAAAATGGTATATGTAAAAGAGATAATAATCCAAAAACACAGAAATCAGTTCATAATTAAGTATTGTTTAAAAATGGCATTCCGTGTGTTACAGTACTACAATGAAAGCACTTAATTCTTAATGATGGGTTTATACTGTTAAATCTCAAGTGCCTCGTAAAAATGATGAAATACCTGCAGTGTGTCCATGAGGAACTGAAAATGGACTTGTCCGGTTTTCTCCATTTAATGTCTTCATTATATCGTGGAGTCCTTTCCTGGGAATGATGCCATAATCAGGAAGATCATAAAGCGATATCAGGCCTACTGCGTGCAATGAGCACATTCAGCGCCTGGGGACTTTGGCTCAGGATTCTTGTTAAGCATCAAAGAAGAGGGCAGTCATTGCCAAAAGCTGAGGTCCCACGTGCTTTCCTGCGTAGAAGAGACCCTCGGAAAGCTCGCGGGAAATGCATCCTGTGAAAAGCCATGCGTACATTTCAAGGTTTTGTTTGTTTTCAATATAAACTTTCCTTGTAGTTCTACTTTCCTGTCAGCGTGCCTTCCCCTTCC